CGGGAATTTTCATCTTTACACACGACTTACACTCCCTATTTTATGTTGCAAGTGCCTGGAAAGTGATCTATCACGCACGCGTAGCGTGCGTAATGGGGCACTTTCCATGCACGTGTTGCATAAAAAATATATTTTTTTGCAAATATATTTTTATGTATGTGTGTGTGTGTGTGTGTGTGTGTGTGTGTGTGTGTAATCTTATGTGTGTAATATTATTTTGCTTCCTCATAGAGGAAGCTTTGTGATGGTGAAAAAATTTTTTTTCGAGATTTTGATGGAAATAGGTTTAGAATGTTCTAAAATGTCGAAAAATCGTATTAGTAAAAAATGTCCGGAAGTATGTATGTATGTGTGTGTGTGTGTGTGTGTGTGTACGGATTTTTTGTACACGCATCTACTTCTACAATTTTTTAGATACCGGGTTGAAATTTGGCACACAAATAGAGTATCATAGAAAGTATGTCCTCCTCAAATTTTATTAAAATCCATAAAACGGTATAGATTTTATGCAGATTTTCATTTTTTTGAAAAATGTGTTTTACGCTGCATCTTTCTCAATATTTGAGATAGCGATCTATTTTTAACTCTATTATATTTTTGAGTTTTTTCTACCCCTATTTCATATATAATTCATTAAAATTTGATTGATTAGATCTCGTGTTACACACATTTGAAATTTCGGAGAATTATACATACAGTTTCTAATTTATATAATAATTGAAATCGAGTTAAAATGTTCATATTTGATAGCTTCGGTTTTATCTCGAAAAATCGTATTAGTAAAAAATGTCCGGAAGTATGTATGTATGTGTGTGTGTGTGTGTGTGTGTGTACGGATTTTTTGTACACGCATCTACTTCTACAATTTTTTAGATACCGAGTAGAAATCTGCATATTGGTTCAGTTTTTAAGTGGGCAAGTATATTTTTATTTTTTTATTTTAGTGAATGTACATAATTATGTATACAGGCTCCTAAAGAGTTAGGTGTGCGAGTAGAAACCTGCACATTGCTTGATTAGAGTTTTTAAGTGTTTAAGTAGAAACCTTCGCACACAAAGCTTCCTCTATGAGGAAGCCAACACAAATAAATACTGAAAATTATACATTGAAAAAAATAATGCTTCATCAACTTGCACACTTAATAACTATGAGGAAGCAATGTGCAAGTTTCAACTTGCACAATTTTTTCTTATTAATTTTGTACCTAAAATTTGTATCATATTTATGTGGACAGAAAAAGCGAAGAGAAAGTGAAGAACGGAAATAAATTTGTATTTTAAAGATGTAAAATTAAAAATTTACGAAGAAATACTTGATACGAGACGCTACAGCGTTTCTCGATAATTTTCTTGATGAATTCTATTTCAAACGTTAATATTAATTCGTTACGTAAAAATCGTTATCTGAATTAAATAACGTTAATTAAATTAATAATTAAACTTATATAACATAATATAAGAATAATATTTGCTGATAAATCTTGGTTAATTAAATCGTGAATATTGATTGAAGCTAGCTTAATTAAAATCAACATATCGTCGCAGCCTGGATAAAATTCATGTAAATCGTTTTCAACTTAAATTTTAATATAATCTACATACGACGTTTAACAACTGTTAAAAACTCAATTAGTCTACCACAAATACAAGCAAGGTAAAACGCTGAATTTTCTAAGTTTGTTCAATGCCGCGAATCTATTTGTATATTCATCTCTCGACCCCGTGGTCGTTTAATTATTTTTACCGGACGTCGTCCGATTTATTCCCGATCAATTTTTTCGAAAATCAAGGAGCAGCACGAACGAGTGGAGGCACCGGAGTGGCGTTCACACCGTTTCGGCAGCCACAGCCGCCATGGTGGAGGAGAAGGCGCGTGTCGTCCTCGCAAGAAGCGAACGAGCCGCGCTCTCTCAACTCCTGGCGGATTATAGAACGAGAAGGCTGACGATAGAGGACCTGATCGTCAGTCTGAGTGACCTGCTGAACACCCACGAGAAATTGACGCTGCTGACGGAGCTCAGGGAGTTGGTCGACAACAAGGACAGAGCGGCCTTCGACGATCTCGTTTACCGACCCCGAATAGCAATGACCAGAGTAAGTCCTTAAGTGAACTTTAACCGACATTATTTTAACTCCGAAATGCTGAGAGTATTCAAAATGAACTATTCAAATCATGTAGAATATTCAAATCTCGAGAGTTGTTGAGTTTTAGACTATGTACTTGGAAATTTTAATTTTTAATGAACAGAAAATTATCAAGTATTTCTAGAGCAAAAATCTGATATACCAATAAATTTGGATTATTCTGTATAATAATGGCGAAAGATATAAGAATTTGTGGAATTAGGAATATATGTGCATTATTAATATTAATACATGCAAATTATGTAAAACGTTTGGAATAGTAATGATTACTCTGGGATTAATTAATTCAAATGGAATAACCTATTTCAATGCAAGCAAAAATGCATTCCCATTGCATTATTTTTATCATGACAATACTAGAAGAAATCATTAAATTCGAAATAAAGATCGAAATGCATTTTTAATAAATCTAAATTTATTTTAAGATCATTTTAAATATTAGAATACGAACTTTTTCTTGATGCAAGTGTATATAATTATAGAAATTGCTCAAAAAATTTAACTTTGAAACAATCTGCTAACTCGTCCTTTCGTCAATTTGAGATAGTTATTTTCTTTAGAAAAGACCAACACTCGCGACTACGAACTATCAAAATTGAGATAAAGCGTCGAGGGAACTCATTTTAACCTGACGGCAATTTACGACCGTCACGCCATTTCACCGGAATGTGAATCGCGCGTTTAGGAGGCAGGAAGTCTTGAAAGAAACGAACGTCCAGCAAGACGGCTTTTAAAACGGTGCTTTATACTTCTTTTTCTAGAGAAAAGGCGACCGCGCTCACTCGGACTTGATAGTGACTCCCTCGCTGCACGATCTCCCGGTAAGTTAAACTCATCTCCCACATTCTCTATTCATATCCCTCGAGCTTACATAGAACGCAAAACTCACACATGGACTCAACATACACGCAACATGTATCACACGCATAAATCCCGGACCATATGCGCGTCGTGCGCATTGTTATACTTACGTATACAGACACACGTACACGTTTTCTATTATCTCTACAACGACGATGTATGGAACCGAGTTTTTTTCCCTCTCTTTCTCTCTCTGTCTCTCTTTTTCTTCACTCACTGTTCTGTGGATCTCTGTTCACCCTAATTACCGAGACACTCGCGGAATCGCTTTTGCGTGTACCCGCCCTTTGTCGATGGACTCCGCGGGGAAAGCAACAGGGAAATATTCCCCGAAAGTTCCTCGTCGGCGCGGCGCGCGCGTTTCCTAATCGACAAATTGCGGCCATTAAGAAAATTATCGTCTACCCGAGAACGAGCGAAATTATGCGAACAAAGGCAGCCAATCCCGAGAGAAACGTCCTACAGCGATTAATAATTCGTAACAAAAGCGCCATAATTTATAATAGTCGACATCAGAGAACAGCTTGAAATAATTGCCACGAAAAGAAGTATATAGAACTCGTATAATCACGGCATCAAAATTTCAGAGAGTAATACGTTTAATTGAAACTATTAGATTTGTATTACCATAAATAGATAAAATTGGTGGTAATTGTACATACATGGAGGGGACCACCCCGGGGAGGAGGGGATGACCCCGATACTCCAGCATGTTGCCAAGGTCACCCTCCCGAGTGACCCCCAGAAGGCCTTAGCCTCGTTACTTATTAAAAAGTTATTAACAAAAAAAAAAAGCCTGGAAAATACAGCAGCTATATCCTGAGTATTGGAAGGCACAAATGACCAATATATATGTCGAAACAGCCCACACACACACACACCCCATGCGAAACGAGGCGCCACATGGGCTCGTGGCGTGCTTTGCGAGCTCGTTTATATATGTACATAAAGTTATTAACCAAAAAAATTTGAGAAAC